CAAAAGAAAAAAAATTTGCAAGTAGAAGCTGCTAATCCCTAAAGCCTCTGAGTGAAGAAATCTGTGAGAAAGAAATTAATAGCTTTCGAAGTGTGGCTTGAAAATTGAATTAATAAAAAGTACCCCTTTTAAGCCACTATAATTATAAAGGTTTTATTTTTCAAAATTTTGGCCAATAAATAAATAAAAAAACAAAAGTCAGAGGCAAAACCCATAAATTTCTATGGCAGAATCTTACAAGATGTTATGCCTTAGATCCTTGGCATCAGTGAGGAAGTGGCAGCAGGTGTGATTCTCCTCCATTTCTTCTATTACATTTCTTAATAATTTTAACCCTGCCCCTTTCTGCAATTTCCAGGATCTGGAGGATAAAATCCCTACTGAATTTGGACCTTTACCTGCCTCACTTCTGCAAACACACACTCTTACTAACTCTGGCCCAGAATTTTTAAAGTGCCATTGATTAATCTAATATCATTTTCAAAACCTGCAGCACATCAGAGGATTGCCCTTATAGAAAGAGTTGTGTCACACACAGAGAGATAATGTTTTCTTTTTCAAATGGCTGCCTCTGCTATAACATTGAGTGAGTAACAGAAACATGCCCAGCTTCTGAGGCCATGGGAAATAGAAGACATTTTAGGTTTTAAACTTGAGCATTCTATAGTACACTGGCAGCTCAAACATTCTTCAGACAAAACACTTGTTTCTATTGTATTAATGGTTTTCTGTCTGAGGAGAGGGATTACATATGATCTTTATTTTCTTCTTTATAGTTTCATATATTTTCAAATTCTTTCATTTGAAAAATAAGACATTTGTGTTTAAGTAAATACTCTGGAATTAGAACAACTATGCAAACGGCATAAGTTCCCCAAACTCTACGCGACCTACGTGTGAATGCGAAGGAGAAAAGTTGTCAAAGGTCAAGATTCAAAGCACTGAAAGTCAATTCTTTCCCTTATGGATGTGTTGTGCCCTCACTTCGTGTCCCAGCTAGAACTCAAAGAAAGCAAAAATGCCAAAATTTTCCATACACAAAGATATGAAAATTTCCTAAGATAACTAGGGAGTTTCCAAACTATAAATTCTAGAGTTTCCAATGAAGCATCTTTCATCTTTGCAACACTCACTTTAATTTTTTCAGGGAAGTGGATGGGAGGAAGGGGAGAGAGAGACACAGAGAAAGAGAAAAAATCATGCCACTTAGTGAGAGATAAGAGTAAGAGATAAAAGTAAAAGATAAGAGGAAGAATAAATCTTCTGGGCTTTAAACAAAAAATAAACTTGAGTTTTCATTTGTTAAAGTCTACAGTCTTATTCATCATGAAGGTATTTTAAAATGAAGCTTATCCCTCCAGAAAATGTTCTCCCTACCAGGATTTGGGAAATAATGCAAGGACCTCCTAGCCCCATGTGGCTCTTCAAATAACTGTGAATTCCCAACAATAATCTCACCTTTGGGTTCAGGCATTGTAATTTGAAAAAGAAAATAGAATCTCCCCTCTCTAGACTCTTCGCTGGGGTAATACTTGAGGTATTAATTGCTTCATTGAGTCTCTCATTCATTTATTTATTGATGCATTCAAGTATTTGTTCAGCAAATCTACTGGATCCTTCTTCTGTGTTAGAGAAATATCAAGCTGACGATACAGCAGTGAACAAGGCAGACATCTCATCTATACCAATTAAGAGAGGCTGAATCAAAGTGTTTAATGGTGCAGGCTAATGTGGCTGGATGTAATGAATCTGAAAGTCAAAAATCAAGGACAGATTAGCTTAAATAAATGTCTCAAGACACTTCCCTTTCCTAATATTAGATTATTTCCCCATTGCCTTCTTCTACCACCTCATCAGGAGCTAAGGTCTAAGCATATGATGATAAATCTCTTAGAGAAAGCCTAGAACATTATCTACACTAGAATTGTCCAGTGTTGTATTTTGCATTGCTTCAGTTGATTTAGCTTTCTCTATTATACCTTGTACCTTCACTGCCATGCTTACTTGTTAAGTGTATTTGCTGAGGCAAGATTAATAAGTAGTTAGAAGTTTTCCTGAAGGGCATAAAAATCATACATTTCAGGTTATATTCGAAGCATAGTGCCCTGGAAATCTTTGCAAAAATAATATCCCTGACAATGCAGTTTGATTCACAAGATTGCATTATCACTAGAAAAGTAACAATAATTTTCAGGTGTTAAATGCAAAAAAAAAATCTGTCTATAACAAGAGAAAAGTCCCCTCTTAAAGAGTAATATTTCATGCCTGGTCTTACACTGAAAAAGAAAAAAAAAAAAAAGTGTTTACCTCTTTCTCCCACTACTGCCACCTCGTGGACAAAGGTGATTCACTTGGACAGCACATAGGAGCATGTCTTAATCTTGCCGCAAGATGGCAACATATGACCAAGTTTGCAAAAAGGCTCAGAATGTTCTACTCCTAAAGGAGGTGATGAGCAGGAAATAGTAGTCCAAAATAATCCGTTTATTCTATTTTCCTAAAGACAAATGGAATTCCACGTGTTAAAATCTTTAGGGCTTCACAAAGAGGTTGATTTGTTACAGGCATAGGGAGGAGTACCTAAAATTTAACTGGCAACTTGTTTTGCTTTTTAAAGATATTTCAAGCAAGCGTATATTTTACATCTGAATTTTTCTGATATTAGCTTCACAGAATTGAATATTTGGGAATTTTTATATGCTTTTTGTAATCAACTCTCTCTAGCTGATTCATAGGGGAGCATCTGTTCACTAAGAGACCCATTAGAACATATAGATTCTTATGCATACCTATGCCAGTGACACGGTAATGTGGGCACATTGCTAGACTTTTCCTGATCAAAATGTGCCCTAATCAGTCCACCTTTCTATCACTTTTTTGTGCTAAAATCTCACAGTGTTTGTGCATCAAATTGCTGCAATTATATATGTATATAAATTATTTGGATTTGTAATCCTACGACTTATTTGTTAAGCTGTATTTTTCTCTCTCCACAAAATTGGACTAATAATACTTTCTAGAAGGGATTTTACCAAAAAACTGACAATAACTTTTATTTATTGAGCACTTATTATATGTCTGGCCCCACTATAAGTTTAGCATGTTTATTAATTGATCTAATTCATAGCACAAATTTATAAGGTACATGTAAGTAAACTCATTTTAGAGATGATGGAACTGGCACAAAGAGAAAGTAAGAGAAAGCTTTCAGCAGAATCGCTGAGCTTCCTACCTATCTGCATTTCTGAACAATTGTTTGAAATTATTCCCACGAAGCCTGTGTACCAGAAACTCAGTGTTGTTGAACTGAAGATGGCCCCATTGAGGCCTCTTTGAGTAAAGAGCATCACTCTGTGGCCTTAAGGGGTTCTTACAAATTCTCATCATTATAAGTTAAGAGGCCTGATGCAAGAAAGAAGGAAGTTGCACTTTGCATGAGAGTCGCGCTTTTCCAACCAGTATTGAATCATTTAAATGTCCCCGTGATACCTCTTGAGTCATACAGGCATTGCTTTCATAAAAGCTGCCAAAGGGATGTTGTGGAATAATGCACTAGATTCTGTCTAGAGAACTGGAAGTCCTAAGTTTCAGTGTCAGCTTTGCCTCTCCATTTGCAAAGGACCTCTCTGGGCCTCAGTTTCCTCATGTTATCATGAGCACATTCTCCACACTGCCTTTCAGTATTTTTTAATGCAATATGTTGATTCCAAAGAAAAGGTGTCAAAGCTGGCATTATGAAAGGAGACAAGTGGCAATATGTTTAATACACAACTTAAAACATCAGTGGCCAGATGATGAGACAGATATAGAAAGTCGTCAATGGCTAGAGACCATTGTTTCACATATTAATAGAACCTGGCTTCACTTCCAGGGTGAGTGCTGGCTTCTGCTAGGAGAGGATAATTCTTAATCCATCTTTCTGTACGAACTTGCAGCATGCTGCAATTGTTAAATAGAAATAACTGCAAATGATGGGCTTCAAGAACAAAAAGACAGGTGCTGTATTCCACAGGGCAGATTGGGCTGTTCTATCTGACCACCCACTAAGTTGGTCCTGAGCTTTAGAGTGGTATCCTATAGAAATTTTACATATTTGCTTCTATTGACCTAAGAGCATTGTGGTTTACTTGATAAAGACACCTAAAAGAGAAACCAAATATTTAACCTACATGAGCTCTTCTGATCCTGAGACTTATTCACAAATTAAACAAATAGTAAATACCCACTACCTGCCAAGCTCTAATCTAAGCACTAGGGATACAGTACTTGAGAAGGAATACACTGTTGCTGCCCTCACAGAGCATATATTCTAATGGAGAAGACAAACTATAAACAAGCAAAAAGTATACTCATAACATGATGTCAGGTTAGAGGTAAGTGCTATTTAGTAAACAGGGTAAAGGAATAGAGAAAATAACAAAAGTTGCTATTTTTAACAAGATGATGAGAGGAGTCCTTTTCGAGTTGGTGACATTTCAGCAGAAATCTGAATGAAGTGACTAAGCGATCAGTACAAAGATCTAGGGGAAGAATATTCCAAGCAAATGAAAAGCAAGTGTGAAGGTCTTCAGTTAGAATAGACTTGACCTGTTGGAAGAAGAGCAGGACAACCAGCTGGCTTGAGTAGAATAAACCAGGGTGAAAGGGTAGGATGAGGCTGTGGATCAGACACATTCTATTATTCCACTAAATTGCAGTCAAGAGTACCTTTACATTCCATACTTGGAGTTCTTGAACTTGTCTACATGCATACAATGTAGCATCAGATATTTGTAGTTGCAAATCAGCTTTGCTACCTCCAACTGCACATTTGTTCAAACAAAACAATCTCTTTCCATTTGTCTTTCTTTCTCTCTCTACCAATATCCTTTCCTATTAAACTGTTCTTTCTTCCTTTTCTCTTATTCTTCAGTGGAGAGTATCAGACTACCTTTGTGTTTCTTCTTAACTGATAAAGATTTTTTATTTGTTTTTGTTTTGCTTAATGTTTCTTATTTTAGAAATTGGTACCACCGTGCACTTCAAGCAAAAAGGTATGGTTTTTATTTTTGGTTACCTTCCATATGTCAAAATTAAGATTTCACAGCAATATATTGTTGTCTTATATAATTGAATTTCAGTGGAATGATTTGTGCTAACAATTTCCATAACACATCTGGCTCTATTTTTTTCCAAATTGTGAACTTCTCATTTACAAAAAGTTTCTGATCCAGCCATGACCCTTATATTGCTCTTGACAGTAATTTATTGTTAAATTCCTGGAACAGAGCAAGTTATGCTTTGCCCTACTCTCTATTTCTACTTTCTCTTTCTTAAGTATTCATGGTTCATTCTGACAAGAGATGAAATTTTGAAAATGCTCACTGCCCAGTGACAGGGCTCTCAGAAGAGATGCAGAGTCTATTTTACATTCACTGGTTGGCTTTGTAAAACAGACCCTAAAATGCAAGTAGCTACTAATTCTGAGGTGCCCTCTTTATAAGTCCAATAAATCATAGTTTCTAACAGTGTCTATCCCAGATCAGAGCCACAGAGGCACCTATGTGGCCAAGCCCCACACTCTTTACTTCCTCATGGTTGCCTATCAGATTATAATTGGCTCATATGAAGGCATCTTCATCTCTGAGTCTTAAAGTGGTGAGACAGCAAAGATCACTCTGAATTGTGAAAACCTATTCTTATGGGACTTATGTACCACCAGTGATCAAGAGCCAATGAGATTATGGACACTTGGTTGCTTACTCCCAAGAAAGGGCCAGCACCATTTAAGGCCAGCACTAGCAGGTCCTCACTGAAGGCAGCAGGGAAGAGGCAGCCATGAATATGTATACCCGGGAACAGGATCATCTGAGGCCTTCAAGAAGGCATAAAGGATTGTCCTTTTCAGCCCTTCTTCTCTTCCCAATGCCACGATTACCAATTATGTTTTAATTTTAAGTGGCTAGTATTATATGTGATACATTATGACTTTGACATGTGGATGAAGAAATAGGGCATAGCATTTTTGTTTAATTTCAAAGACAATATAAATTGCCAGTGTCACCAGAAGTGCTACGTATTGGACTAAAATTTCAAAAATGTGTATGCCAAAACACTTGATGCTGTGTTGATGAAAAAGATGTGATGATTCTGACTTTACTGTGAGAGTATTTCAGCCTTACCAAAATCTCACTTTATAAAGGGTAGAAGGAATGCATAAAGAGCTAAAGAAAATGTAGGACGAGCTCAGATTCGATTGAGTCTAAGACCCATTACTCAAAGAAAACATCGATATAGTAGTTGCCCCTTATCTGCAGGGGATATGGCCCCAGGACCCCAGTGGATGCCTGAAACTGCAGATAGTACAGAACCCTATCTATATGCACTAGGTTTTTTTCCTATAATTACCTTTAATGAAGTTGAATTTATAAATTAGGACCAGTAAGAGATTAACTACAATAATAATAAAACAATTCTAACAATATACTCTAATAAAAGTTATGTGAATGCGCTCTCTCTCGCTCTCTCTCTCTCTCTGTCTCTCTCTGAATATCTCATTGTACTGTATGTACCTCAGGTAAGTGAAACAGCAGAAAGCAAAGCCACTGGTAAGGGAGGACGGCAGCATTTCCCCTCCTCTCCTTTGCTCCAGCCTTGGCTTTAATTCCCAGTTAATTCACCCAGAGGAAGCTGTACTGGCAGAAATGGACAGCAGATGGCACCAAAGTCAATTTTATCAGGCTTCCCTTTAAACATGTCTTCCCAGGATACCACATGCCTTAGTCGACTGGGCTAGATGATATGGGAGGCAGATACTTAAGGGGCTCTGTAGATTTGTGTTCTCCTTTGTTAAACAAGTGTTTTACAAATTGTTTAGAATTTTGTTCTATTTCAGTCACTCAATCAGCCTTTAATAACTCTAAAATAATTCAAACTTTAACTCCTCTGTTTTTTTTCATATGGCTGAACTGTGAATAGGAATAAAATTATGATTTACTTTGACTTCTTAGTGGCTGAAAGGAATATTCAAGAATCACTGAGAACATGATTAATAGCCACTTTGAATAAATTTACTCCTAAATCCAAGAAATGGGCCCTCAGGAGGAGCAACAGAAAACTGTTGACCAGATTTGAATTACAAAGTGTCTTTAAGCAAGCCTCTGTAAAACAGGTGTTGAAATATCACGTGGTCTTTTCCTTGCAATTTTACTGAAATATAAATCAATTGGCTCCAGATCCTGAATCAAATTTGTAGTCTAGAGACTTGCCAAAAAATTCTCACATCCCTCAATTTCAGAATGTTTCATCAATCTTGCTCTTAATCACAAATTTCCTTTCATTGTTATAAGAAAGTGCAATCCGGCATTCACCTGGACACAGAATCCCACTTATTCCGCCTTGGGGTTAGGAATCTTGACCTCGTGTGTTGACTTATGATTTGCAGTCCTGCTGCAGCTGAATTTTGCTCCTTAGAGTCAACATTAAAAGCTTTGACCCAATACGCAAACCAATACCTTCGATTCAGGTTAGTATTTCATCTCTTTCTGTAATCCAAAATTCTGCATTTGGATTAATAATAATACAATTTACTGAAAGCTTATACACACATATCAGTGGATGTGCATATATATAACACACATATAGAATGTGGTTAGATACTAAAACATGATTTTTGTCTGTTATATAAAAAAACACATAGGAAATTTTTGAATTGTAGTTCTATTTGCCCATCTATTCTTAAGGCTAATTTATGTTTGCAGACTCTTGCTTTCATTTTATCTGTCAGTATATGAAAGCACTTGCTGAGCCTGGCCATCTGGTGTGGGAAATCAGATTTATCATTTGCATTTCCACAAATAAGCAGAAATTTCATAACTCTGAAGTAAAACATGATTAATGATTTTGCTGATTATTCTTCCCTGAAATAGCCACTAACTGAAGTAGTCTTCTATGCAGTCACATATATCTATAATTGCATACACACTTGTGATGATTCCCCAACTATCACCCATTTACCCTTGTATTTTTAATCCTATTTATTTACTCGCAAAACCAATTATGAAAAGTGTAAGTCATATAAGTACACTAAATAGCTATATGAGAGCACTTAATAATTGATTGAGATGAAGATATCTTTGATGCACAAAATACATTTCAAATATATTTGTACAGCATTTAATGACTGGGATACATTCTGAGAAATGCATTATTATGTGACTTCATTCTTGTGAACATCACAGAATATACTTACACAAACCTTGATAGTATAGCTTACCACGCACCTAGTGTGTATGGTATAGCCTATTCCTAGGCTGAAAACCCATAAGCATGTGACTATACAGAATACCATGGGCAGTGGTATTTGTGTATATAAGCATATCTAGACATAGCAAAGGTGTAGTAAAAATGCAGTGCTATAACTTTATAGGACCACATTTGTATACATGGTTCATCTTTCACTGAAATGTCATGTAGCATGTGACTGTATATGATAATATTGTGAAGGATAATATTAAAGATTATTAACATAATTATACTAAGATTCTCCATTATAACATAGAATAGCATGTGACAATAATAGTTAACTCTGAATTATGTGTAAAAGACCAATAACGTGTATATATCATATGTGTACATATGAGTAAGTGTATAAAATATATACTTATCTTTGTATGTATGCATATGTATACGTGTATTATCAAGAATGTTATATGTGAATATGTTTATCTAGGTTCATATATTCTGTAATATATTTTTCAATGATAGAATTTTGGCTTTCTTGAATACTTACCACTGTTAAATAAAATGATAAGACTAGTCTTAACCTTCCCAAGGTATCACTCAGCTCCAGGATGTATGCAAGATAATCTAGCCTATCCTTGCACTAAAAATGAGATTAAGGAAATAAGTAGAATTGGACTCTGGCTGCAAACCTTTTGTTTTACACCATCCCTGGTGCAGACAAATATTTTTTGCCTAACCTTCTAAGGCTTTAATTTTTGTGTAGTTTTTCTCTGTTTTGAAAACCTCAATACACAAATACAACCAAGTATGCCAAGGAGCTCTTGCCATCTAGTGTACATAGAAAGACTATAAGGTTGGGAAAATAACATTCCTACAAGCCCAGAAGCCATGGGAGAAGTTTCCACTAAGAGAACTTGAAGGTCCCAACAGTCCAGACAGGTTGGGAGTAGGGGACATGGAAGTGGATAAGGAAAGGCCTTGAGCTGACTTCAGACACTTGAATTTAAGCACCTGGTCAACAATTACTAATTGGGTGCTTTCAATCAAGATACAGAATCTCATTGAACCTTAATTTCTCGTGCAATGCATGAACCTGAAGGTAGCTAATATGTCTTTTGTTAATATGATCCTATCACAATTCAGAAAATTAGATGATTAATTCATTAAACCTTTATTCTGTGTTTCTATAGATTTACACAATACAGCTCATTTTACACTGTAACTATGCTGATCAAAGTTTGTATATGTTCATATTTTTATATTAGGTGAATGTTTTTAATATTCTCAAGAAAATATTCTAGCCAAAACTCTCCTATCAAAAATCTTTTTTGCAATGATAATTGCTGTCTCCCTGTTTTTGTTTGTGCTGGCCATTTTAATCAAACCCAAGTTTAATTTACTGACCCACGTTTAATATACTGAATGTTGACAGGAGACTTATAGGCACCCGTTTCCTGTGTAGTGGTGACAGGCAAAGACTCTAGAGCCAGATGCCGCCTGGGTAAAAACCCAGCTCCTCTGCTTGCAAGTTGTGTACGTTTGCACAGCGCATCCAACCTCCCTGTGCCTCTATCAGTTCACTGTAAAACAGGCTTTATCATACTACCTACCTCCTAGCATAGTTGTGTGCTTAAATTTATAAGGAAGTTATGACAAAATTGTGTAGCAAGTGCTGTATGATTGTTTGTGGTTTTCTTTTATTGTTGTTGTTGCTTTTATTATTTACATAAAGCATAGATAGGAGATCACGGAATTCGGCATTTTTTCCTGTTATGCTATCTCCAATTGGGTATGTTTGTCAACAGTTTTGGAAAAATTCACATACCAGGGGATGCTTCCATTATACCTGCAAACCATCATAGTTTTACACACACACACACACACACACACACACACACACACACACACACACAAATAATCAAGCTGCATATCCACCCTCAAAATTTTAAAGCAACTGACAATTACAGTCACACCAGTTTCTCTTTTGAACATCACTGTTTAAGTATGTAGTCTTAAATCCAAAAGTCCCTGTACCGAAAAATACTATTTTTTCACTTTAATGGACCATGAGCAGAACTATACAAAAGGAGAAAATGGAACAAGCAAAGCACAGGCGATCAGCTTTTCTGCCAGACCTATGATTCCCTCCTCTGTAATCCTCTTTCTATGAACACACAAGCCCCTTCTCCAGGGGCTTTCTATCCATCCTATTTCCCCTCTCACACCCACACCCACATCTCCCAAATTGTGTCCACATTGGGAAAACTAAGGTGGCAGCAAGAAACACGGAGTGCCATTCCAGGTTAATCTGGGTGACTTCAAATCTCAGTTCTGTTCATGGTCTGGACCTGCCTCTGAACCTCTCTAGGTGTGTCGACAATTGTTTATTTTTGTTGTTATCATCTTCGTTTTTGTTTTTGATTTTTAAAGTGACAAATGAAGAGTTTGAAGGAGTTGATCCTCTGCTGCCTCTTAAGATTTTAAGATGTATTGACTTATTTTCTCCCTTGCTAAGGTACCACCTAGCCATAAATGTTACTTTAAAACAGTTCTCCTCCCCATTAGCAAATAAGTAATTACTGCCTCTCGCCAGGGACAGAAGGGGTCCTGGATGGTTCCATGCATTTTTGGTGGAGATGCTGTGACGAATTGGCCGGAAGACCCATGTCTGGCTGCTGAAGGACCCTCACCAATGCTTGGAACCTTAATGAGTGCTGGCACCAGAGGACTACTTAGGGCAGGGCCAATGGGAGGAGGCTGGGCAAACAGGAGCCTCCTGCACTATCAGACACATTGGTCATAGCCAGTTTAAGGACTTATCTGGCAAGAGCATTTTGAATTTAGAAGTGTTTCAACCAATGATACCCCTTAGGATACATGTGGCCCAGGGAGGAGGATTTAGAAAGGTTTTGAGCCTTTCCTGGGCTGCACATAAGGGCACCAACTTGAGACGCTGGTATCCGCCCGGGTCTTACCTCTGATACCATCAGCAGTCAGCTGTAACATAGAGTGGGCCCATATCACTCATTCTCTTTTCTCTCTCTCCTCTTTTGCTCTGCAGGACCTGGGTCGGTGAGAGGAATAAATGGATCCATCAGTCTGGCCGTACCACTGTGGCTGCTGGCAGCATCTCTGCTCTGCCTTCTCAGCAAATGTTAATAGAATAAAAATTTAAAAATAATTTAAAAAACACACAAAAATGCGTCACACAGAATACAGAGAGAGAGAGAGAGAGAGAGAGATGGGGGGAGACCGTTTATTTCACAACTTTGTGTGTTTATACATGAAGGGGGAAATAAGAAAATGAAGAAAATACAACATTTAAAACAATTTTACAGTCCATCATTAAAAATTTAAATATCATTCAGGATGGAGAAGTTTCTACCAGGATATGTTTATATCTACTAAGCAAATGTATGCTGTGTAAAGACAACGTCATACTAAAGACATCCCGGATGCTGTAAAAATAAGACAAGAACCAGATGGATATTAAGCCCCCAACACACACTTTATCCTTCCTTCCTTCATCCTTTTTCATCTGTGGGGAAAAAATAAGGTCTTGCCTTTGGTGTTTATATTTCCATAACCTTTTAATTCTGTTTTTCATTTGAGCTGACTTGTAGCCACTTCAGACTATCAATGGAATCTTATGTTGAGCCGTTCTCTGGCTTTCCTTCCTCCGCTATCTCTCCAACTTTAGACATCATCCCCTCTCCCTCCACTGTGTTCTCTCTCCCCCACACCCATCCTAGATATCCCCTTATTACCCACTTTTCCTCCCCCACCTCTCCTCACCCTCACCCCCTCCCCAGAGCACTAGTTATGCCGCAAATGCTAGGAAGTGCCATTTTAATTTTCTCCACTGTGCGTGCGTGCTCAAGTCTTTCGCTCTCACGTGGGTGTACATGTGTGTGAGCGTGTGTGTGTCTCTCTCTAAAGCATGCCAAGGGAATGGTCCATGTGTACATAGACTCACTGTGCTGTAGATACTGTCCTGCATTGTAATTGTGAGATGCGGCTGTAACAAGTTGCTGGGGGAGATGGCGGGGAAGGAGGCAAGGAGCAGAGTCCTCCCCCCATCCATGGCTGTCACATGGCATCAGTGTGTATTCAAACCAAGCTGTGCCCCTTCCAAGGGCAGGACCCCATATTCCTCCTAGTCCCATCATCAGAACCGAGTGGGGAGTCACTCAGAATATCACTGTAAATGAAAGTGCCTACTATCGATGGGGTAAGCAAACAGCATAAGGAATTATGACATGAACGAGGTGAACTAGGAGAGAAAATTTCAGATTTTACTCTCATTTCATGAGTCTGAGGGATTCACATATTTCCTGGCTTTTAACAGGGTAGGCCCTGCTCTGCTGCAAAAATGAGCAGCATGTGTTGAGTAAATCCCCAGAAACAGGAAGGTCTCCAAGTGTCAACTCCCAGTAAAAGAATGATGAACCACTTGGAGATCCTAAGATTAAACCTCCCTAATCTTCAAATAACACTGCATTTGTCCCATGAATTCCCCTGAGCGAGATTGTTTCCTATTTCAGATAAAATACAGTAAAAGTGAGCAAGGCAGAAAAAGTCAACAGATGCCCAGGCTCCTACTGTATTCTGGAGATACTGTCAGAGCACTAATACAGAGCATTGGCCATAATGAAGAGCAGTTCACTCCTCGTGCTCCTCTGCAGCTGTTCTTCCCAGTGTTCTAGGTTAATATTTTATTTGGTTGCCCACATGATCCCCGTTCTGTTTCACCGATGGTGTTTGCAGCACCACTCCTCATGGTGGTCCACTGTCATCCTATGCCAGGCTGCTAGGAATTGCATTATAGTCACCTTCCGTGTTCATTTAAATTTACATCTATGAGAGCCACCTTGACATTAACACTGAAATGTGATCTAGGTCCTTAACCAAAATTGCTGGGCAACTTGTAATAAATATAGACAGAAATTTTATGAGTACCACAAAGCTTGGTGTTACCACATCACCAGGATTTCTTAGGAAATGTCTTGTGGAGAAAGCTGGCTCTCTGCATGTAGATATCTTTGTTAGAAAACCAACCATTGCTCTCACTTACACAATAGGAGGCATTGAAAGTGGTTCTGTTCATGAAAGGACAGAGGATTATTTAGAGATTATATTTGAATGTAATCTTGCAGAGCCAAATATGGTACATCATTAAATTGGAACCTTGTAAATAGCTGTTACACTATATGGAATGAGAAACTTTGGAACTGGAATAAAATGAAGGAAGGAAGGAAGGAAGGAAGGAAGGAAGGAAGGAAGGAAGGAAGGAAGGAAGGAAGGAAGGAAGGAAGGAGGGAAGAAGGGGGGAGGGAGGGAAGGAAGGAAGGGGAAGGAGTGGAGGGAGGGAAGGAGAAAGATCTGAGTAACATTGTTAATTTCTTCTAAGGGATTATATTGTTTGTTTTAGAAGCTTATCACAGCCTTCTTTCATGATTTTGCAGTTTAGGCTTGAAACAGAAGGAAAAATTCAGCTTGGGGATGGTTAAGAGTGTTTATAGCAGATTCTGACATGGGGGAGAAAACAAATTCTCGTCCAAGAAGGTGGCTAGTAAAATATAGGGAAGGTGAGCCATATTCCTATGCAGCATCAATTTATTGACAATCAGGGATTTCTCTTAACAGTTTGGTCTTCTTAGTTCAAGAATAAAAGGTTATCATCTTTAATAATAAGCATTCCCCATAAATTGAAGAGGCAGTCACACACTTAAGTGTGTGACTTTAGAAAAGTACATGCTAATTTAAAGATATACAGGAAGAGAAAAGTAGAAGGAGTTACATTGGATGTTGTTAAAAGTTGGATGTTAGTAGCTTCAGGAACAGATCCTCATGGCATGTCACAGGCTTTAATTATATACCTGGCTTTCTTGTTGTCTCCACTTTATCATAAGGACAAGGTCTTGGTTTAATGGGAGGAACTTCTCCATTGAAATAAATGTCTTTGCCATGTCAGCACTATTTGTTCCCTCGGTTTTAATATAATTGACCATATATTAAACATAATTAAACATATATTTAAATGTGGTGTTTGCCTCTATCTCTAGCAGGATCTGGGAATTTTAAAAATTTGCTTCTGGCTCCTGTTTCAGAGAAAACATTGGCCCC